GGTTTCATTTCCTTCATATAATTACCCAGAAGTGAAATTCCTGGATGAAATGGTAGTTCTAGTTTTAATTTTTTTAGGAATCTCCATATTTTCCATAACAGCTATACCAATTTACAATCCCACCAACAGTGTACAAGAGTTCCCTTTTCCTCACATACTTGACAATATTTGTAATTTTGTCTGATAAAAGCCATCCTAACAGGCATGAGGTGATGTCTCATGTGGTTTTGATTTGCACTTCCCTAATCACTAGTGATGTTAAATACTTTTTCATGTTGGCCATTTGTATGTCTTCTTTGGAAAAATGTCTCTTCCCATCCTTTGTTCATATTTTACTCAAATTGTTTTTTCTAAGTTGTATGAGTTCTTTACATATTTTGCATATTAACCCCTTCTCAGGTATATCATTTGCAAATAACATTCTCCCATTCCACAAACTGTGTTTTCACTTTTTTTGATGGTTTCCTTTGCTGTGAAGAAGATTTTTAGTGTGATGCAGTCCCACTTATTTATTGTGGCTTTTGTTGTCTATGCTTTTGGTATCTTATCTATCAAAAAAACAAAAGCACAAACAAAAAACACTGCCAAGACTAATGTGAAGGAACTTTTTCTTCATGTTTTCGTCCAGGAGTTTTATGGTTTCAAGTCTTACATTTCAATCTTTAATCTGTTTTGAGTTGATTTTTGTGTGTGGTGCAAGATAGGAGTCCAGTTTCATCCTTTTGCAGGTAAATATCCAGTTTTCCAACCACCATTTATTGAGGAGACTATCCTCCTCCCACTGTGTGTGTGTGGTGCCCTTCTTAAAGACTGGATGACCTCATATGCAAGGGATCATTTCTGGGATCTTTATTCTGTTCCATTGGTCCATATGCCTGTTTTTAAGTCATTACCACCCATAAAATGGAATACAATATAAACATTTATTATATAGACATATTTATTGATACATGAAACTGTCTATATCACATTGTTGAATGAAAAAATAAACAAGTTATCAAGAAAAAGCATAGTGTATGTGTGTATTCACATAGAGAAGTATTTTAAAGGATGTTCATCTCTGGATAGGAAGACATCAAGTGATACTTTGTTCTCTATACTGTATGATATTTTCTTTTTACTATATTATTTATTCTTATTCTTATATTTATTTATTATTTATTTTATTTATTATTTTATTAACTATTATTTATTTTTATCCTTATAATTAGAATATTTTCTTTTCATCTAAGGGCTTGCTAAACCATACTGATTTTGATTACAAAATACTTACTCCTTTATATATGTATAATTTAGGTCCTATTGCAGGCCTTTGTTATTTCTTGTAATAGCCATGTAAGAACAAGAGTTTCCTGTCTTGATAGTAATAACATATGATATCTGTATAGCACTTCCCAGTTTCCAAAGTATTTTCAATACATTATCCCCAGTGGGACTCAAAAACAACTTCTGAATAGGTATATTATTGTCATTTACATTAAAAAAAAATCCAAAGTTACTGACCTTGAAGGGAACTTCTGAACCAAATTTCATGTATTTTTCCTAACACCTTGCTGGACTAGGCTGACTTGGGGAGGGATAAACCCTTAATGTGGTCTAGATGTAATAAGGAGTGAAAGAAAACTGATGTAGCTGGAAAACAGAGGTGAGATTGGAGGGGCCTTAGATGCCATATTAAGGAGTTAGAATGTATCCCAAAGGCAATATGAAGCTGCTAAGGAGTGTTAAATAGAGAAGTAAAATTATAAACTATCATTGTTTTGACCAAGGGTCTGCAAACTTTCTGTGAAAAATCACACAGTTAATATTTTAGGCTTTACAAGCCATGTTCTTTTGCAACTACTCAATTTTGCCATTGCTGAGTGAAAGCAGTCAGACAGTACACATACAAATGAGTTTGGCTGTGTTTCAATAAAACATTTATGGACACTGAAATTTGAATTTGAATATCATATATTTTTAAGTGTTACATAATATTATTCTTCTTTTGATTTTTTTTTTAGTGATTTAAAACTGAAAAAACATTCTTGGGTTGGATTTGGCTGGCAAACCATAGTTTGCTGACCCTTAGTTTAGATGATGATCACTTAGGCTACAGTGGAAAAGTAGACAAAGAGGTGGGTCATTTTAGGCACATTTCCTCAGGTCTTGTACTGTCAGGTTGACTTTTTAATATTCAAGGCCTGTTGATGCTGGTTATATGTCTTTTCTCTCTCAACAACTGATAGATGCTTATACAAAAAGACTATTTTCAGATTAACTGATATACTTTTTTGGTGGTCCCTTTGTGTTCCATGTGATATTTAGTCTTACAGGAAGAGACATCTTGGGGTAGAAAATATGTATATGTAGGGCTAATCCTGTTTATTTATAAACTTAAATTTAAAGAGGCAATATTTCTGAGTATATAGGCTAGACCTACAGACCTCTGGATAGATGTTAATTGATCTATTACAAAACATGATAAGTTCTTTTAGACTATTTAAATGTGGAGCCTCAAATGTATATAGTAGATTCATGAGCTGAAATGCAACTTTGAGGTCTTAATGATCTCTTTAGGCTCTTACTGTTTCCTTAAGCAAAGTTACATATGAAGAGTAAGGATGTAGCATTCTGAATGATTGTCAATTTTTGCAAACAAAAAGGAAAGTGAAACTATTTTTCTCCTTCCCTTATATTAGGTTTTAATCTTTTACATGTAAAAATCCTTATGGGTTAGAGTTAGGGTCAGTCCATCAGTAGAAAGGATTATTTGCAGTTAAAGAGATGTAAGCTAACATGGAGACTTTCTTTATATTGTTACTGGCTAAAACTGAGGCTAAATGCTGACACAGAGATGATTTGAAGAAAAGTTTATGGCACTGATTATATATTAATAATCCAAGCAGTAGAAATTACAGAATATAATACACTGAGAAAGTTTGCCAGCTTCTACCCATTTATATCTTTATCTCCTCAGTTCTTACCATGGCTAGAAAAAATACTGGGACAATAGACATAAAAAATTTAAAGAATATGAAGAAAATATACCTTTACTGGGGTAACTAGAAACAAAGATGGAGATAAAGAAGGAAAGTCAATAGGTCAGAAAATCTGGAAAGTGTTGTAAGTAAATTTCTGATACTGTGATGTCTGCATGCATAGATTTTGGTGAAATGGTAAAACCTTCCCTTAATATACTAATATGCCTACTCAAATTGACATAACAAAATACAGAGGAGAAATAAATAACAAAGGGTTCATACTTTTGAAATAATTAGATTTTTGCATGATCAACAAGAGCACAATCTAAATGAATGGTAAAAAGTTAGAATTTAAATAACAAACTCATTCCAAAGATAACCTAATGTCGTGAACCCATATTAACATCTAAAGCATCTAAACTTAATTAAAACTATACATTATCTTAACTATGCAGAAGGTTCAGATAAAAGAGCCTTCAGAAGTTTTTGTTGTTTTCAAGAAGCTTTTCTTTAGTGTTTCTTTGACAACAAGGAAATCTCTGTGGGGCAGAATATACTGGGAAACCAGGAAAGGTACCCCTTCTTTGTACATATGATCTCACTGTGTCATTATGGTGCAAGACCTTATAAAAGAAGAACCTGGTACACAGCTGAAGGACCTATAGGCAACTGGTCAATTTTATTATTCTATAGCTAATAAATTGGCTGATTAGGTATATGTGAATTTATAATCTCTTGGATCCACTTAGCACTGTGGTTACTTTAAAACTATAAGTGACATTTATAATTTGTTACTTCTCACTAACATAAGGTACAAACTGAGCACATTCAAGATTTATGGGACATGTTTTGACCTGTCCTGGCTTCTATAGCTGTACTTCTTCAGAGAATGGATTAGACACACATTTAAGCTTATTAGATAAAAGGTGTCATTCCCTCACATGAAGGTACAGGAGGAAAAAGTTTAAGAATTATAAATTCTTAGAACACATTAAAAATCTTTTGGGCCCTGGAAAGGAAAATGTCAACAAGTCAAAAGAGACTAGATGGCTATTGACCAGTTTCATGAGGGCAAAGCTGCAAGCCACAATGGAATAATGCTGCCCCACCACGTATCTAAGGCATAAATGACACTAATCCTTTTTAATGGTCACAAAAGCTGACAACTTACTCAGCCTTAGAACTGAAGGTACAAAATCATCTCTGGGAATGACTCACCATAAACAGGTCACGAGCGCCAATGTCAACAGCTAACAGAAATGCCTTTTCAAATCTCTGGTATCTATAAGGAAGAAATGTTAGAAGTTGTAAACAAAACTATACACAAGGAGAAAGCTGCTTGGTTAAAGTATTTATGTGGTATTGTTTTTATTCTTCTGAATGAGAGAAATATTTTCAAACAGAATGAATTTTGCCTCCTGGGAAATGTCACTGTGCTTAGGAGCAGCTGAGGCGCCAAGCCTTCAAGGCCTTCAGTGTGACTTACAAGTGCGAGTGTGACCCAGAGTAGGTGCGGCTGACTTCAGGGAAATGATAGCTTAGGCAACATGTTTCTCTTACTTTTTTACTTGATTGTTCTTTGCAAGAGAAAAGAATGGGAGATACAGCAGGATAAGAGTAATTTAAAAACAGTATAAGTAGACTTTTGTGTTTCTTTGATAAAAGTTGAGAAATCAAATGTTGCATTATTACAAAAGCCTCATATTTGTGAGTTTTTGGAAAAAATACATTCTAGCCTGTTGTAAAACACTATAAATGGTTTGTAAATATTTTTTAAATATTACTTTTCTACTTTTCCATACCATACTCTTTCCTTGAAGTGTAACTCTGAGAATTTTCCTTTGTGAAAGCTTAATTGTAAGCTAAGACACATGATAACAAACTATGGTTTGAATTAATTACCTTTAAAGAAAGTTTAAGATCTTGATACTACAGCATGTCATGAACATACATTTTGTACAGGGTTTTGGAAGGAAAAGTCATCTTTATTTTGTCTGAATGCTGATTTACATAGATAAAACTGTCAGCTTCTCTGAATCTAGAAACAAATATGTAAATAACCAAGTTGTTCTCTGTTCTCTACTTTAAATTGTAAAAAATGGTGGTATAAAATATTATGAGAGTTCAAATAAAACATCAGAAATATGCAATATTATTAATAGATTACATAAACTATATTAGTGAAATAGCCAAAATAATTAAAATTCAAACAACCTAGGCTTATTATTATTATACATGAGCCTATAGGTCCAGAACCTGAAACACTTCACAATTTTCATGTTATGTTTGAGGACTGTTACCCCTATCTCCTCCTTGGCCCTTCTTTTAGTATCTCTAGTATTTGCTGAATCCCTGTCACTGTTGGACAATCAGAAGACCACTGTGTTTATTTTTGTTCCAGAAAGCTTACTGATTCATTATATATTCAGTGGAGCTGGGATGTATTTGAGAAGAGGACAGAGGATTAGCAAATTATACTACTGTCCATACATTCACTGCCACCTTGCTTTGTTCCTGGCCACTGAAACTTTTGACAATAGTAATCATCCATCTTCTAATGATCAAACAAGGTAAGTCCTTATCATGTATGCCTTTTTGGCCATATCCGACCCTATAAACTTCCCCTCCTTGAAACCTTCTCTTTCCTTGCATTTGGAGATGTCATTACTTGTTTTCCATTTCTTAAACTGCATCTTAGTCTCCTTTCCTAGTTCGTGTTTCTCTCCCTAGTCCATGAAGTTGGTATCCTACAGTCCTCTTTTATTTATATCCACTCACTCTAGTCTCTCCAGTAATCTTAGCCACTCCCAGCATAGTGATAACTTCATCAGTGATGCGACCCTTTAGTTTCCATCTCTTCCTGAGCTCCGAACTCTTTCCAGGCATCCCAAACTTAACATGTCTAATATGTCCATTGGTACATCAATTTAGTAACCATATATATGATGAACTGAAATTGGAGAGAGTGAAATTAAGGGGGACAAGTTAGGATGCACTCTTCTTTCTAGGTAAGAGTTAATGATGGACCTTTATAAAATGAAAGAATTGGCACTGGCACCTGGCAGCATGTTCAGTCAGAAATACCTAAAGGAGCTCCCAACTAGATTGTTTATAAAATATAAGTTAAAGTGCACTATAGGACTCAAAAAAATAAGGAAATCTCCAAGGGTGACATATGTTCACTCAAAAAGTAACCAAACAAAATCCTTAGATTAAAACTAGAGTAAGTATTCCTGAGCAGAGAGAAAATATTGCGGGGGGAGTGGGTGAGAAGAACTATTCTCAGGGCCATCACCCTGAGGAGACTGAGTCCTGAACATGTCTCAAGGGAAAGGTGCTAATCCAAAGAGTTCTGAGGAAACCAGAGGCTAAAATGTTCCCAGGTTATTAGTGCCCCTAACTCTGGCAGAAAAATATTCAAGTCTGGATTAAAGCACTTTTGACAGAAGTCTCCCAGATTACCATTAATTTAGTAAAACAGATACAAGTTAGTAACCAAAGATTTCCAAATATATATAACAAGCTACTATGATGGAAAATTAGAAAATAACAGAATTATATCTCCATGGATTTCAGATAATTGAATTATTAAGGGTAGAATGTACAATAATTCAGTATAAGATATTTAAAGAAATAATGATGGAACCATGAAAATAAAAATGCAACAAGAAATAAAAATCACAATGCAGATTTTCTTAAAGAATAAAACTGAACTTTGAGAAATGAAGAACTGAATTATCATAATTAGGGAACTAAAAGATTCATAAGTAAGGAATTACACAAAATGTTGCACAGGGAGACAAGAGATGAAGAATATAAAAGAGAGGTAGAGCAATGTAGAGAACAAGAAAAAAATCTAACTTGTCTAATCAGGTAATTAATAGCTGGGAATTTCTAGAGCTGGTAAATGATATGAATAAACAAAAGATGAATAATATCTATCAAGCAGGATAAACTGAAAGGAATCCATAATTATGCACATCTGACACAGAAATGCAGAAATCCAAAAATAAGACCTTAAAAACTGACAGAGAGAAGATGGGTCACCAACAAATGAGCTACAAATAAACTGACGACAACCTCTCAACAGCAACAACGGGATGTAGAGACAGGAGGAGAGTATCTTCAAATTAAGCATCAATCTTGTATGACATAAAAGTGGAACTCTCAACAATGAAAGCAAAACTAAGATGCTTTCAGATATATAAAAACCGAGAGCATTCCACATAGTTTTGAACAAAGGAACTTCTAGGGACATATCTCGGAAAAAAGGAAATGACCTCAGAAGAAAGGTCTGAGAAAGGAATGGCTTTAAAAACAAAAGATTTGTTAATAATATACAGGTAAATAAAACACATATACATGTACGTTCACACACAACAAACAAATGTTTTGATATTTTTTAAAAAATGTTTTGAGATTTAAAATCAGAAAATACTAAGCTGTATCACGTATAGCAGAAGGGAGTTAAAGTACTATCCTTGCTTTTTGTACTGGGAAAATATTAATGTTTGAAATTAGGAACTATGCACAGTCAGATTTTAATGGTAACCACTGAAAAGTGTATAAGTTGCTAAAACAGTAACACTGTAGAGTGACAGTGAGGAAAAGGGAACTGAAAAAGAAAAAAATTCAAGCAGTACTTTAAAAATCAAGAAACGAAACAAAGGAAGCACAGGAAAATAGAACAAATGGAAGGCACAAAGGAAGACAGAAACAGCTCAGTATAAAAATAATCATGTAAATTTAGCCTCACCAGTTTAAAGACAGAAATCTATCAGACTAGAAAAGTAAAATTCAGTTATATATTATTTATAAAAGCCACACCTAAATGATAAAGAAAATAAGGTCAAAAGGAAGAGAAGAAAATATATCAAATAAATATTAATAAAAATTAATCTGAGGACATTGTTAATGAAGACATAAAACAGTGCAGCCATTTGGCAAAATTGTTTGGCAGTTCCTTAAAATGTTAAACATAACTTGACTATATAATTCCGCTCAATTCCACAGCAATTCCTAGGTATCTAGTCAAGAGAAATGAAACATTCCAAGGAAAGAATTGTTACACTATATTCATAGTGATATTACTCAAAATAGCTTAAAAGTAGAAAGAATCCTAATGTTGATCAACTGACGAATGAACAAAATATGGTATATCTAAACAATGGAATAGTTTTCAGCAACAAAATGGAATGAAGTACTAACACATACTACAATGTTAAAAAATAGTAAAGAAATAGAGGTATTACACAATTTCAAAGCTAGATTTATTGGTTACACAGACCTTGTCAACCTTAGAGAATACACATCCTCTTCAAACACACATGGAATTTTTATGAATATAGTTCGTAGTAAGTAAAAAAGCATGTCTCAATAAATTTTAAAGAATAAATATTATAATGAATCGGTCAACAATGTGATTTTTTACAAAAATATAAACAATAAATCCACATGCATGGATAAATTAAAAAGTCATTGGCCAAAGAAATCATAATAGAAACTTTTAAATATTTATAAATAAATGATAATGAAATATACAGAAAAACTTGAGCAAACAAGACACTTAAAGGGAAATTAACAGCCTTAAGTACTTATATCAGAAAAGAAAGGTGAAAAATTGATGAGCTAAATATATCCCATTTGATAATTTAGAAAAAATTATCTCAAGAAGACAGTGGAATAACATGTTCAAAGTACTGATAGGAAATAAAACTGTCACACAGATTCTATATACAGCAAAAGTTATCTTTCAAGAATTAAGGTAAAATAAAGACTTTACAAAAAAAAACTAAGAAAAACTAAGAATATGTATCAACAGAACTGCCTATAAGAATGGCTAAAGTTCTTTAGGCTAAAGTAAATGATTCCAGATGGGAGCTCACTTCTACAATAAAGAATGCAAAGCACCAGAGTGGTAAATATAAAGGACTTCATTTTCTTTTTTTCTTTTACATCTGTCTATTTATAACAAAAACTATAACATTGTTTCATAGGGGTTATAACATATATAGCTAATACACATGGCAACTGTAGCATTAAGAGTGGGGTAAGGTGTGTAACTGATCCAATTCAGTTGCAAGTTTTCTACATTTTACATGTAGTATGCTCTTAAGCCTAAACAGACTGTGGCACACTAAGGATGTGGAGGTAACAGCTGGACTTTCTAGACTACTCTTTATCCTCCAGGTGCCTCCTCACAGCAGGGCTTCTTTCTGTTTAGCTCACTTCATCTCATTTGTAAGTTCTCCCAGATGACATTGGGGAAACAGGCTAGATCTC